TGTCTCTGTGCCACTTTTCTCCCGCTCACCCTCTGACCTTTAAATAGGAGTTCCAGGTTCATGCAAAGACCACTAAGTACACAGAGCTGACCATGCTGTCACTATCCACGTTCTAGCATGTAGAAGGGGATGTCCCACCAAAGGCAGAGAAGGGGTATAGGAAGCCAGAAGATGGGGTAAGATAGGCCCTTCTCAGCTGCCAGGAGTAGCCGTTGTTGGCTTCCTGTTCATTTTCTACGATCTGGCCCTCATAGGGGCCAAAGTGCAGATCCAACGGCAGATCGGATGTCTCATTCCATACTCCAAGCCCGGCCTCGGGGATGCCCGATGGCCCAATTCTCAGCCCAGGGGGCAAAGTGAGGGCTGAGCGGTCGGGATGCCCCTTGTCCACTGCAGTGTCCTTTACAAATGTAGGGGGTCCATGAGCCGGACAGCTGTCGATAAAGATCTCCTGGCATTTCTCACAATCTGGAGGCGAGAGCAGCAGGGATTAGGAAAAGTATAGTGCGTGTTCCTGGATATGAAGAGCTTCAGAAAGAGCCCAGCACTTACGTAATTTAGCCTCAGTCCTGTACTCCAAGCCACCAGAGTAAAGGAATGACTTGGGGTCAAACGACAAGATGAAATTATTGTACCAGGACATGGCCTTCTCCATGAGTGGGCCAAAGGGTCACTTACACAGGATGTCATCATCCTGAGGCTCATCGACCTCTTCGTATGTACAATCCTTTCTTTCTCGCAGGCAGTACGTCTTCGTTTCAGTTTCTTCTGTTCTGAGTTCTAAGTTGGAGAAGAGTAGGTGAGTGAGTTAGGAGTCTCGGGTGTTTGTACCTGTTTCATCAGAAAATGTGAAATCTCCTACCATCAAATTATCGTGTATCCTTCTACATACTCTGGCTCCCCACCCCTTCACTACCTCTTAACTATTATTTCAGAGAGACTAAGACTCCACACCCACAGTGACTACAGATGCATCATTCAATTTTAGTTTCTGGATTCCCAGGATCAGGTTTAACCTCCCAAACTTTCTACTCACAAGACAGTTAATTCATGCATTTATTTATCCACAAAATATGTGTTGAGGGTGCATTACACATTAGGCATTGAACAAAGGCGTGGATGTACACTAAGAAAACGTGGTCTCTGTTATGACAGACGGATTTATTGGACACCTTGCATGTATCAGTTCTTTTGCTTTTAAGCAATATATGAGCTATATGTGTTTATCTTCAATATACAGATTAGCATTAAGCAGCTCAGAGGATTTATAATGTCTGCCCAAGGCCCTAATGATTCTGCGTGGGTTATAACCCAAGTGTGTGACTTCAGAGTTGGCGTTTGTTCTTACATGTTATTCAATACTACATCTAACGTCTGGTCTCAGCATAGTCCAGCTTCAGTGCAGGCCTATTGCAAGTCTACCCCACATATCTAGACCATACTCATCGTCCTTTCCAAAGGACCTAGAGGGGCTAAAGTCCCCAAATTATTTTCTCTTACCCAATTTTTGTCCAGAGGGCAGTCCAGAGGTACTCGCTTCTGCAGGACGGGACACTCGTTTCTGGGCCTTCTGTGAGTCCCTTCTTTTTAGTAAACCTGTTGTTTCTGACAATTTCTTCAATGTAGATTCATTACTTAATGGTGCCCTGGACATTCCCTTTAACGTGAGAGTCACATATTAAAAGACAGCATAGATTTCTTGAGTTCCTTAGGGCTTGCAACCTGTTTTCACATATATGACTTTAGTTAATGGTTCAACAATCCCTGGAAAAACCTGGAGTGTCTGAATACCAGAGAGAAAGAAAAAGGCCTGAGGGGGTAGTGAATCCAGGACTGGAGCTCATGTCTTAAGGCCCTTTTCCTTCAACTTTCTAAATATAAGTGAGAGTGAGGGAGGGAGAATACTTTGGAAGACAAGCTGGAGACTCAACAAGGTCTGTGAAGGAAGGAGGTAGGGGCTTATAGAGAAAAAGAGGGCCTCTTCCATAAACTAGTCGACATATGATGGAAGGAGAAATGTAGAAAAGCACAGAGGGTACAAAACACATCTGGAAAATGAACAGGGAGTTTGGGAAGAGAAGGAACAGTTGGCATAAGTGTATCTAGACGACTCAGAAAGTGATGCTAAGAGCTGCAAACTGCCATATCCTGGAAGGAATATTTCACTTTGGAATTGAACTAACTGGTTCCTGTACCAATTCTGCTTAAGTGAGGGTGTACCGTTAGCTAATTCTATTCAGCTTCCCAATCCATAAATTGGCTTCCATTCTAATTCTTAATGGTATAGTGAACATGAAATGCAATAATGTTCACCAAGTGTTTTGTGAGGCATTAAATACAGTACAAACATGAGATTAATAATTTCTCTTATAGTCCTGACATCGATTTACCTCCTCAACCATCTCTACAGTTGAAATCTAATTCAAAGATATTATCTTCAGCATTACTTGACCCTGTTACATCTATTTTAATTTGTGAAATTTGGAATCGCTTAGAAAACACTCAGGGGGCCCTCAGGGGCTCCAAGCTGGGACTGGGACTCCTGAGAAAAAGCAGGTATGGACCACACTCTCAAAGAGCTCCCAATACAGAGGCAGCAGGCTAAATAAATGATTTGAAACAGCATGAGATCTGCTTAATTCGGACCCAGAGGAACGAGCAGTTACTTGTTCCTACAGGGAGGAGCGTTTAAAATCAGTACCAGGATACATTTCTACTGGATAGTGTAAAATACATGAAGTGCTAAGTCATTTTCCTATCTGTTGTTTCTCAGTCAAACCTCAGACTTCTCAGGGCTAGGAGCAGCTTTCTCACAGCTGAATGGGTCCCTTGTGAGAGAGTGGGAGCTATCTCCGTCTTCAGCTGGGACGGTGCACAGTAGAAATTGACTGTGTATTTGCAAGCTTCCCTTAGAGGGTCTTAGCATATCTCTCACTTAGCACAGCAGAGAAGAATTAGGTTGAAATAATCAGTCAGATGAATAATGCAGAGGTGTCCGGGTAAGGCAGCATGAACTTTATAAAACATGAAAGTTTGAATGAGCTTGTAAGTACTTTAGAGAAGGAAGGAGCATTGGATTAGACTGAACCACTACTCACTGTGATCTCAGGCATAATCAAACATTTCTGTACCTCAGTTTTCTCATCCACAAAATGGTTATGCTTATAGTACCAACTTCAAAGGATTGTTGTGAGGGTTTGAGTGAGTTTATTCATATAAAATGCTCAACATAACGTCTGAAATATTGCAAAAATAAAACAAGTGGTAGCGGTTATTGTTGCTCTTATTAACTCTTAAAACGATGATGTCAGACACTGTGCTAAAGTGATCCGAAAAGGAAGGCAGCAGTCCTAGGCTACTCTGCACGGTCTCCTGCTCTCACGTGTGTTTGGATCTTCCATGACGAAGGTTGTCTTAACAATAGGATTTTTCAGGTACTCACCGTCTGGTGTTGACTCTTTTCCACTCTGCGGGCCCCCCGATGAGGTTTGGCTAAAAGGTGATGAGAAATCAGTGTTTTCGTTGGTAAATATTTTTAAGCTCAGAAGATTCTCATCAGGGACAGAGAATTCTGAACCAGAGAGTGACAAATGAAACCAAAGCAAACCAAACCTCATCTCTCCTTCATCTTGTGTTCACAAGGTATCTACTACATTTATTTTTAAAAAATGAATTGGCTTAACTTTCATTAAAAAAAAAAAAAACGCTGAACGAAACCACACAGTGGAGGAAAGGTCAGTGTCTTCCAGAGATGGAATTGGGAAAACTGGATCGCCACATGCCAAAGAATGGAGCTTGACTCTTCTCTTACACTACACACAAAAATTACATCAAAATAGATTAAAGACCTTAATGTAACACCCAAAAGTATAAAACTCCCAAGAAGAAGACATGGGGGAAAGCTTCAAGAAATCGCATTTGGCCGTGATTTCTTGGAAATGACACCGAAAGCATAAGTGACAAAAGGAAAAATAGACAGAGGACTGCATAAAACTTAAAAACTTCTGAGCACCAAAGGAGACAATCAATGGAGTGAAAAGGCGACCTACAGAATGAGAGAAAATATTTACAATCCTGTATCTGATAAGGCCTTAATACCTAGAATACATAGAGAGCTCCTACAACTCAACAACAAAAACACAACCCAGTCAAAAACTGGCTGCTAGGACTGCACTTGTTTCCTCCCAAATTCGTATGTTGAAACCCTAATTCCTGGTGTGATAACATTTGGAGATGGAGCTTTGGGGAAGTAATTAGGGTTAGATGAGTTCATGAGCGTGCAGCCCTCATGACGGGATTAGTGCTTTTATAAGGAGAGGAAGAGAGAGATTCCCCCCAAGAGGTGGAAGCACCCTAAATATCCATCGACAAATGAATGGATAAAGAAAATGTGCTATATAAATACCATGGACTATTATTCAGCCTTAAAAAATAAAGAAACCCTGCCACGTGCTGCCACACGGATAAATCTTGAAGACACTTTGCTAAGTTAAAGAAGCCAGTCACAATATGGCAAATATGGCATGGTTCACTTACATGAGGTATCTAAAGTAATCAAATTCATGGAAACAAAGTAGAATTGTTGCCAAGAGCTGGGGCAGGAGGAAATGGGGTGCTGTTGTTCAATGGGTATAGTTTTATAGTCATGCAAGATGAAAAAGTTCTAGCAGTTTCTTCCACGTCAGTGTGTATATAGTTAACGATATCATACACTCAAAAACTGTTAGGAGGGTGAGTTTATGTTATGTGATTTCTTACCACAATAAGAAACAATAAATTGATGTGTGACAAACCATGGGGTTAGTCATGTCTTCTTCTAAGACAGTTGATCCAATGACTGAACATTATGACATTAGGGTTAGAAAGCTTTTGGGTGGATTTACAGTTCAATTCTGGTTTAGTTAATTGTCCGCTGATTAATTAACAATTTTTAGCAAAAATAGTCTTTTTTTATTATTACTTTAAAGAATGATAGACTTTAAACATATAGAAAAGTATGGAGAACAATGCTGGAAAACCTATAAATCCATCACCATGCAGTCCCATTTCAATATTCTTCCACAGCTGCTTCAGATGTTTTTATCTCTAGTGTTTATTTCAAAATTCAAAAATAAAAATAAGACAAACAAAAGAGCTAATTATGATGCAGCGAAGCCACCTGCCAGCCCTTCCTCCTTCTCTTGTATTAATAACTTCTGAGTTTGGTATTTCTTACTCGCATTCAGACTTTTATACTTTTAGCACTTATTACTGTATCTGTAAATAAAATATGTAATTCTTTTACAGGTTTAAAACCTTTATATGAACAGCCTCTTACTGTATATACTGTTTTGCACCTTGCTTGTTTGTTGAACATTTATGTTTTTGAGAGAACATGGTCTCCTTCGTTAACTCCTGAGATAAAGCTGAGACATCAACCCAGGCTGGTTTCAGGAGGTCACCTCTGATTCCTCCTGGCCCCTCACCTTTCTGCCTAGGTGTCCATTCTTCATCAGAATCGTCAGTGTCATCCACACGGAGCTTGGCCTGCCTTCGGTGACTCGTGACAGCTGCTCGAGGGGCTGTGCGACCTGGAAAGAAGCCAAATCTTTGTCCTAAAAGGGAAGAGGTGGGAGGAGGAACAAAGGGTGGTGGCAATGGAAAGCACCACAAAGCCAGTGTGGCTCAGCATGGGCCGGGAGAGTCTTGAACAAGGTCAAGATGTGAGCTCTGCATGACTAGTGCCGACACACAGCCGTGCACTGACAAAAAAATAGAACAAAATTTCCCCTCCAGATTTGTCTCCATACAGAAGGGAACTGTGGGGAGATGTACCTGCCTAAGAAAGAGCCAAAATAATACGGGGACAGAAGACCTGTATTATATTTCGCAGGCTGGTCTGCAACCAGCACTTGCAGTTACCTATATTAATCAGCTCATTATGGTTCCTTTTCACATTCCTATAGCAAATTTTCTCCCATTTTCCCATCTCCCCCCATTTTTCCTTGGAGAAGTATATGGAAATGTCTTTGAAAGCATCTTAACCTAGAGAAAATAACAGATTTCATCAATGATTTACTGTACACATCACAACATCAAGTGGGGCCTTTTTTCTGCCTTATAATCATAACAAGCAGAACACAGCCTGGGGCCTTGGGGTGGTCTCTGTGAAACAAGGATAAATAAATTCCCTCCCTCCCCAGATTGTGTCCTGTTTGAAAGAACACAGCATCTGCCTTGCTCTCCCCTGACACAGAGAGTTTGATTCTAGTGTCCTTTTCTCCCCCATGTCCCAGACAGGACCAATTGTCCCCATTCCAGGCACATTCACAGCCAGGGTTGCACAGAGGTGCAGGCCACGAGTCTGTAGCCCTCCAGACACCAGCTCCTTGTCACTAGGTCCCCCTCTGCATCCTTCCTACAAATCCTGCTTGGAGCCCAGCTTGACTTTTCCTACCTCTCACTGTGAGCTTCCGCCCTGTTCTCCCTGCGTCTCCCTGAGGATTCTCCTCCTGGGGCCTGTTGAGGCTCACGGTGCTGGGACAGGATTGCAGGCCCTGATCCACCTCCAAGGCTGGGAAGGGCTCCTGAGTCTCCTGGCTGCAAGGCCAACCCTCCTGTGGAAAGAGAGGGCGCTGACAGGGGGCCACAGCCCAGACCACTGCCCAGAGCCAGGCTCTGTCTTCTCCACTTGGTTGCGGTGTCTACACTAGAAAGATGTGGGGACCCTGCAAGGACTGGAGGAAGTTGGGGAGGTCTGGGAGCTATTGACGGGATGGGGGGGTCTCCGCTGGCCACGACAGACCACCTAATGTGAGCTGTTTTGTTTCAGTTCCCCTGCAGCTTGACGCATCTGAGGAAGGGTGGCAAAGGTGCCTGAGGGTCAAGGCTTAGGTGTCTTCGAGGGGACTCCTGAGGTGTGAGGGCCAGGGGAGTCCCATGGAGACCTTGAGGTCCCCTGACTGGTGGGACTCGGGTTATACTGACCAGCAGAGTTCTGCTCCAGAGAGAAGAAATGAACATTTCTCATAGGAAGGATTCTGGGATCTCCACCAGGAGATTCTGGAAAACTCTGGGAGTAAAGCAGCCTGGATCTCTAAGGAGCAGCAATCCCTCAGGCTGAGGAGATTTGGTATCTCCAAGGCAAGTGAGATTTGGGGTCTCTCAGGCTGAGGTTCTGGGGGTTTTTGAGGTCGAGGAGATTTGGAGTCTCTCAGGCTGATAGTATTTGGGGTTTTTCAGGACAAGATTTTGGGTCTTTCATGCTGAAGAGATTTGGGATGCTCAGGTTGAGAGGCTTTGGGATTCATCAGGTAAAGGGAATTTGGGAACCCTCAGGATGAAAGGATTTGGCATTTTTGAGGATGAGGAAACTCGGGGTCTCTCGGGCTAAGGAAATTTGAGGTCTCTCATTAGGGGGCTTTAGGTTTTCTGACACTGACGTTATTTGGGGGTCTTTGTAGCTGAAGGACGTTTCCAGGCTGAGTAGGATCTCTGAGGTCGGGGAAATTTGGTCTGTGTGTGGGTGTGGTACTTGGGGTTTCCCAGGCTGAGGGGTTTGGGGTGCCTTAGGCTGAGGGGATTTGTGATTCCTCAGGCTTAGGGTATTTGTGCTCTAAGTATTAGGGGATTTGGCGTTCCTGTGGGTGAAGGGATTTGAGGTCCCTCCAGGTTAGCGGATTCGAGGTCTCTTGGAGATGAGGGATCTGGGGTTTCCCAGGCTGAAATCTGAAGGTCTCGGGCTGAAGGTTTATAAGGGTTTCTTACTGCATGACCACGACTTCCCGAGTTCCTGTCAGTCTCTCCAGCTTTCTCCTGCCGCTCTTCCGACCCTGGCCCCGGGGCCTGCTCGGATTCTCTCGGCAGTTGAGACATCGAAGTTGGCGAAGCAGCGAAGCAGCCGTCGGTACTACCCCGCACGGCAGAAACCGACATTCAGAGCTGCAACCAATGACCGATCAGGCGGGGATAAAGGGGCGGGGAGTAGGGCGGAGCCATGTTTGTCAGTTACAGGCACCACTCCGTTCTAGTCTCGGGCGTCAGGGCGGGGCCTGTTCTTTCTCGTCACGTGGAAGAACCCGCCCCACACTGTCGTGCGTGTGCGTGCGTCAGTCAGAAAGCATGGCATGGTCAGAATGGTCTCGCGATCGTGACCTGCCGGGCGGGCTCGTCATGAGCCGAACCCGGCTCTCTGCACTAGAGTCGGTCTGCCCCGTGGTCCTGCCCACAGAGGATCTCAGTCGGGGTCGTGCAGTGTGTTTATCCCTCAGGATCACTGTGGGGGCCATGGTTTCCCTGGCGCTGCCATGTTAGGGGGAGGGGGAGGAGATTGGTATTCGGGTTGTTGGTGGTGTTGGGGACAGAGACTGAAGAGGTCTTCTACTCTGCAGTCATCACTCCCCTGTCCCCAGAGGACACTGCTCGCCCCCACCTCCTTTCTGCCAGGGTCCTCGAATCCCTTCATTATAGCTGCACCCAACCCGCCTACACAGTCCTCGGAAGCACGAGTCGATCCGTCCACACGTGCTGAGGCAGGATTAGAGAGACATGTGATGACATGCCTCAAGCAAGGTACATTTTAACCTGGTCCTGTGTAAAATTTCAAACCAGGTAAGAGGGGAAAGATTAGTCCAGTGAGTCGTGGTGCTGGCAGCACTCTGGACCACAGCGACCAGCTCAGGCCGCAGCTACTTTGTCAGCCTTCCCCTCCCGTCCCCAGCCTGACGACGCCAGAGCCCGCCCAGACGCCCCGTCCTCCCGTCTGCGCTCAGTACAGGACGTGCCCACAAGAATCACGGCTCCAGAAAGACGCACGCCGCCTCCACGACTCCCGCGAATTGTCACCACATCACCAGACATCCTCCTTATCTACACTGTGCGCACGTCTCCTCGTGTGCCACACACACACCACACACATAGACACACACACACATAGAAACACACCCCAGACACCCCACACATAAACACACACCACACACACACACACACACACAC